TTCCCTTTAGTAAATCCTGAAATGGAATGAAGAAAAATTAGCAGCATTAAGAGTGTGTTTGACTCAAAAATAAGACAAAGGACTACATGTCTTGTGCATGTATTTGTGTATAAGAGTAGATATAAAAAAATGTACATTTAAAATATAAAAGCAGAACTGATGATCCTCTAATGGTGTCCAAACAAGAAAAACATTATTAATCTTGGTAAGTCTCAGGGTGCTATTTTGCCTTTCTCTAAATTGTTCTTGGAGCTTCTCACTTTTTATATCACCTGAGATAAAGATTTTGTAAAATAAGCAATACCGTGCAATCACTTTGGATGGGGGTGAGGTTAGACCACTGCCTCCAGCTAGCACCTAGTAGCTGAATACTAATAAGCTGCTTTAGGCCAAAATATTCAGTTATTTTTCCATCCTTTACAAAAAACGAATTCCATGCAGTTGCCAAATGTTATGAGTGGTCATTATCTCACTTTAATGTTTTTTCCAGAATGGGGTGGGTCTGGGAACTCAGTGACCTGAACATTGCCTTCCATGACACTTCACTAATAGTGAACGTAGGTACACTTGGGAAATAGTCTCTAAAAATACTAGCCTTTTACAATATTTCTTGTTCATGCATCTAGAAGTTTAGGTTTGGCCTCTAGGTGTCATTTATGGTATGTCTGCTTCTCTATGCTCACAGTTACAAACAAACACACTTACATACACATACACACATGCACACTTTTTGTAGACTTGTATGTCATCAATGATGGCAGTCTAAGGTTGCGTATCTGTAACCTGCATTGGAACTATTAGTAAACCATTATGTTTGGTGTTATGTGCTTCATTGATCCACCAGCATTCTTTGTGCATCTCAAATGTCAAATACTGTGTTGAGCAACAGAAATACAAAGATTAGTAAAACACGAGTTCTCGGATAATCCCTGATATAATGTGGAGACAGACATGTTAATAGATTAAACTCAATGTAAGTTATATAACAATTTGAATGGGATTTATATAAAAGAAACACCAAAGTAATAGTGGTGAAAGCACATAAAGGATTTATTTTCTCACAAAAAAGAAGTCAAGATGTAATCAGTGCAAATGTAGTTCAGGAACCAGGATCTTTTTCTCTTTCTGCTCTGCCATCCTGAGTGCAACTAGGCCTCTATTCTCAAGATTGTCTCATTTTCAAGATGGCTTCTGGAGTGACAGGAAGGTGGAGGGCAGAGGGGGCCTTCCCAGCTATGTTAGCTTCTTTTAAGTAGCCTTTCCAGAAGTCCCACATGACACTTCTGCTTTTATTTCACTAATTACAACTTGTCCGTGTGGCCAATGAGAAATGTATTCTTTTAACTGGATATAATTCTGACTTAAATAAACTTGGAATCTATTTCTGAGAAAAACAAGAGAAGGAGGATATTGGATGGCAACCAACAATCTCTGCCAATGGAGGTATGAACAAAAGGCTGAGGAAGCATAGAGCAATAAAGCAGTTAACTCTGTAATCTGGACAGGCTTTTATTGATGAGGACACATTTATTTGGGATTTGAAGGATGAATAGGAGTTTGCCAAATAAAGAATTAGGAAAGAGTGTTCAAGGCAGGAATGATAGCATGTGCAAAGTGAGCCCATTTCTGTATTTCTATTTATTTTTCTCTCTCTTACTAATAGTAGGTCTTAAAGTAACAGTTTAATTTTTAATTAATCTAACAGTTATTTAAGCTTAACAGATTAAGATATATCAAGAATGATTATCCTGATACAACTGCAAAAAATTTTCCACTTGGACCAAAATAAGAACGTTTTATCTGATGATAAAGTATTCCACATTATAAAAATAATTGAGTTAGAATATTTTGGCATCTTAAAGAGGAATTGATACAAATAAAAAGGAAAAAAACAATTGTGTCAGAGAGATGTTTGTCTTTTAAACTCTGAAGTTAAACAAAGCCCAGTTAGAACTGACTTGGTTCATATCCTGGGATCCATAAACCCATACTGAGAGTGCTAAGTTGGGGGTCTGGCCAAGTTAGCCTTAAAGTATGTCACCTCCTATTTAGCTATTCCTAATATGACTATTATTTTGGATCTGTGAAGCTAAATTGTTCTTTTCTTAAAATGGTTTTGGAACCATAAGAAATCTTTAGGATTAGAGAGAGATTTTCATGATTATCTCCTTTGGCTCCATTAGAAATATTAGATTCCATTAAAAATTTTCCACAGAAACTTAAATCTTTTCAGAAACCTGAAATTCCTATAGTTTAAGGAGTAAATGCAGTCACATTTGAGATGCCTGACAGTGTACCTTTCCGTGCCTGCTGCCATGTTGTCCTTCCACATAGCTGAGGACCCTGTCAGGATAAGGCCATCTCTTTTCAACCCCAAACAACAGTAGTGTCAATAATTCTTTGGATGCTGCCTAAATTAAGACCTCTGTGCTTTCTCAAAGGATTCAACCTTGCTAAAGTAATCAGATGATTTAGTGTTCTGATTTTTTTTTATTTTTGCCAACTTTGATTTTTATTTATTGTCTAATTAGCTAGTATCTAGGCATTTCTAAAGGACGTGGTAAACCTCACAGCAACAAATCCCTACACTTGTTAACTCTGACCCCTCATTCATCCCTCAGCTCAAAAGACCCTTCCTCGGGACAGTCTTCTCTTTCCTTTCTAAACAAATCAAATTCTCCATATTTCATGCTCTCAGAAGACCACGTGTCTGTGTTTTATAGCTATTATCATGATTATAATTTTACAGTTTATAGCTATTATCATGATTATAATTTTACAGATACTGTGTGTGATGATTTGAGTAATATCTGCCTCTACCACTAGCCTGTAAGTCTCAGAAGGAGGGGCCTATGCATGCTTAAATTCACCGTCGAATTTCGCTCCTAGCACTGTGCCTGGCCCATAGCAGGTCCTCAGTGAATGTTGCTTAAACAATTAAATGGATTTTTTTTGTAAATAAGGTACTTCTATAATTCCATTTCTTACTGTACTCAGAATATAAGAGGGAATACCATATTGATCAGCTCTTGTGTGGGTCCATCTACTGATAGGAATTTTGCAAATAATTTTACTGCAGTTACATATCACACACAAATGAAGTCTTGAACCAGCACACGGTTGTCTCTGCCTGGATGGAACCCGGTTGCATTCTGAAGTGTCCTCGCTGCAGCCTCTGCACAGGTGGAGTGAACTGCTGCTTGACCACAGGGGACACACAGGGATGGAACTTACCTGCCTTTGCTCCCCATTGGGGAACTCAGCACCGTGTTTTCCTGACATCTTTGCATTTCAAAAAATGTACAATTATTGAAGGGCTTGCTGCTTTGTCATCTATTTTAAAAAGCTGTTCATTTGCTTTTAATGAAAAAATACACATTGCCATATTTTAAAAATAAAGTACATTTATAACATAATGCTAAATGTCTGCTTTAAACCTTTGCCTAAACATGTGTTTGCAATTATTAATGAAAGAAATAGAAAAAATCAAGCCCCAAGTCTCAAAGAAAGGTCACATTAGCAACCAGATTTTTGACAGGCAGGACGAATTGTGGGGATGTTGTGGAGATAAGCCCCTTCAAAATGTCACTACCATTCTCATTTTGTCAAAGACAGTAATTGAAATAGTTCGGGAGTGGAATAAGTCTTTTGGTGTCAGCTCTAACGAGAACTATAAGATGTACAGCCGGGTATATTTTAGATTTGAATTTTTTAAATTCAGACATTGGAAAGGAAAAAGTAAAGATATAAATAAGATTGCCCACATACTTTATAAAAACTTGTGATTTTTGTTAAGTCTGATTTGGATGAGGCATTAACGTTTTGCTGGAAGTGTTTAGAACTTGGCTGCTTATTAGCTAAGTGACCTTGGGCAAGATTCATGGCCTCAACTATAAAACGGGGGTATCTTTCATGATTGTTTTCAGAATGAATGAGATATTTATAATATATTGTGCCTGGTCCAGAACAGGGCAAGGCACATAGCAGGGCCTCTGTGTTGGTAATCTCTGCTGCCCTCAAGCCAACCCTCCTCCTCCTACACACACGCATACACTAAGGTTGTTTCTGTCTGCTGATTCCTTTTCTCTTTTCTTAGCTGGAGTGCAAGCTAGAAAAGAAAGTGTTTTCATTATCATTCAGCAAATATTTGTTGAGGGCTTATAATTTACCAAGCACTATGCAAGTTGCTTGGAATATATCAATGAACCCAACATGCAAATTCCCCGCCCTCATGCAGCTTACATTCTAAGGGACATATGGAACACGGGGAGTATTCATAAAATGTTTCCTGCTACTGTTACCTTAAGGTTGTATTTTTTGTCATTTGGGTGAATCATAATTATTGACAGTGGAAATTATTATTGAATTAAAGTTCTATAACATCAGTAATTTAGGATCTTCTCTCCCTCACCTTCTTCTCATCCTTCCCTATTCCTTTTCCACCATTCTCTCTCATTCTCTCTTTAACCCTTCTTTCTGTTTATGTATTTGAACTATAAAAACATTTTTTGGTGGGGCACGGTGGCTCACACCTGTAATCCTAGCACTCTGGGAGGCAGAGGCATGAGGATCACTTGAGCTCAGGAATTCGAGACCAGCCTGAGCAAGAGCGAGCCCCGTTTCTACTAAAGATAGAAAAATTAGCCAGGCGTGGTGGCGTACGCCTGTAGTCCCAGCTACTCAGGAGACTGAGGCAGGAAGATCGCTTGAGCCCAGGAGTTTGAGATTGCTGTGAGCTAGGTTGATGCCACAGCACTCTACTCAGGGCAACAGAGTGAGACTCTGCCTCAAAAAAAAAAAAACCACCACATTTTTACCTATGCTACATTTTTTTCTTTCTTAGCTTGGTTCAAATTCCATTTGAATTCAGTCCTCTTCATGGGAAGTATGTTTTATGCCCCTCAGGGATGAAGGGAGGGTTACTTGGTGGTGATTGGCCTCACAGTGCATCTCTCCATCCATAGGTGCCAGTTGAATTACACATCTTTCTTTCTTGTTAGATTGTTGGCTGCGATCACCAGCTGGGAAGCACCGTCAAGGAAGATAACTGTGGGGTCTGCAACGGAGATGGGTCCACCTGCCGGCTGGTCCGAGGGCAGTATAAATCCCAGCTCTCCGCAACCAAATGTAAGATACTACAGAGATGGGGCAACCTGTGGATTTGTTGACTTGTTATCCTCCCTTGCCTTAGCCCTGGCTCCCCTGAGCAGCCAGGAAACAACACCTCCACCAAAATGAAGACAAACCTAGAAACGTAGAGAGCTTCATGTCCCTGCTTGTGGGTTAGCTTAGATGGGACGAGTCAGATCACCAGCTGCAATCCCAAAGGGGAAGCCTTTCCTTCTGAGGCACAGCAGGAGTGAACAAGTCTAGAGGCACTCCCCATGCAAACATGAGCTTTGCTGCCCACCGTGAGGACAGACTGCATCCCAGCTCCTGCCTGATGTGTTGTGGTATGCCTTGTGGAATATAGCAGGGAGAGTGGAATGGTCAGCACAAATTCACTCCTATCGCAGTGAAATCACATGGTTTTCATTTACAAAGTGGTCTTTGGTCCGTGCGGACCGACACAGGTTCCTTCAGAATTAATACAGGGCAGTAAATATGTGAAGGTTTTTATTGACCTTTGTGTCCTGATCTCTCTATACCAGCAAAAAAAAAAAAAAAAAAAGTGTGTTATTATACATATACTTTTGGGAACATCACATGATCATCTCATTTAAACCTCATGAGCAAGGTGCTGTTAATCCCCACGTTATGGATGAGATAACTGAGGCTTAGCCAGGTTGTGTGACTTGCTCAGAGTCACACAGCTCTAAAGTAATAGAGCCAAGATTTGAGCTCAGAGTCTGATTCCAGAGCCTAAGCACGTACTCGTTCCTCCGGACTGTCTCCCAGCCCTGCTGGCAGTCTCTGTGATGGGACATTTAGCAAGCAGACAGATGCATCAAGGCAAGGTGCCTCGGATGTCTGTCCAGTCGGGTCCCGCTAGGGTAGATAGTATAAGTTCTCGTGATATCTAAGCCAACACTGCAGTCATTAATCTGTTTCATTGTGCAATACACTGTCCTCTATGACAATCACTGTCCTCGGCACTGCAGCGGATACATGTGAAAGTAAGATAGCCCTTGTACTCGAGGACATGCATTTTTAGAATTATTTTGGCCTTGCTTAGCATATTGTCTCCAGATTTTGCTGTTACCCAGAATCCTTCAACAGACCCTTGATTGAGTATTTCTTTTTACATGTCTTCTTGGCTTGGGAAATGAGAATGAATATCTTTACTGAGTGTGGGTTTTGTTCTCTTTACTTGTTGACTAGCTGGAGGAAAACAATTGATGTATGGGGAGGGGGGCTATGACTTTAAATGGTCAAGAAGAAAGGCAGATGTGGTCACTCTGGTGTGCACTGGAGAGCTACTCAGAGAAGTCATGAAAAGGCAGCTTGCCAAAGGACAAGGCTCGAGGGAAGGAGAGGGGGCAGGAAGAAAGACTAGAGACTTTTAAACACATGAAAAATTGGAGGTGCCAGTTTAGAGAACTCTCCACATTCTAATTCCCCTGGAGGCAGTGAAAAATGTGATTCTGCAAAAAGTAAAAAATAAAAAAGTTAAAAGACTCTGGCAGATAGAATGAAGGATGAGGTAACTTAGACACTGACATAGTACATTCAGGCCAGATTTTTCACTGGTCATGTGTGTTGGTAGCTTCTTTTATAAGATGAAAAATTAAAGAACTTAGAAGATGGAAACCAGAAATGGATAGAGGCATAATTCTTTTGTAAATCTCTGAAATCATGGTTGAATATCTGAAACTTACATTTAAAAGATCACTCTTAACAGAACTCTTCAAGAAATGCTGAAAAAGTTAAAATCTTTCTAATTATTTCTGTCCCATAATTGAATCACTGCTCATTATCTAGGAGTTACTAGTAGGCATGAAAGAGGATGCCATGCATTTGTGCGGTAACTGCTGGGTAGTGACTTCTGAGAGCATGTTTGGAGTGGTGGAGACCTCTCTTTATTCTCAAGCCCCCATCTTCTTGTTCTCATAGAGGAGCCAGAGCGTTCTGCTCAGACATTCCCCTTACCTTTCTATTGGCGTATGACTAGTGACTTCTGGGTCCCAATCATAGGAACAAAGGTAGAGAAGCTCTGAAGGAACAAACTGAAGTGAATAGAGAGCCATATGTCATCTCCAGGCCTGCAAATAAATACCTCAATGGAAAGTGCTCTATTCAAGACCGACAGTGGGTAAATTGTGTATTATAATACACAACCTGATGATTATACATAATGACAATATGCAATTGATTCATTTACCTTAGTGCTGATGATGCCTCCTGACAAGATGATTTATATCAATAAAGCCCAGCATATGCATACACCTCACCACAATCTATAGCAGATGCTGAACAAACTGCCTCACTTATGTTTTCTCCACCCTAGAAGAATCTTCCATCCTATATTTACAGACTGTGAGGAGACCAACTGGCAGGGAAGATTAGGCTGCTCTGCAAGGCCTGGTGCACTGGCCAGGTGAGCAGTTCTCCACCCCTGGAGGAGTTCTGCCAAATCTCTCCCCCATGTTCTGCCAAAATGCACCGTAAGCTAGCCACATGCTCTTTTCGAACTCCTAGCACTCAGATTCCCCACATTGAACTCATTTTCTTTCTGAACTTATATCCAAGTTTTTTTCTCTATGTTATCAAGCCTCAAGGGAACACAGAAAAGACAGGGGGGTGGAGAAAGACCATGGTAGAATGTGCCAGAAGGAAAAAGAAAACTCAGAAAAATTTATCAAATGGCTGCCATTTGCTGGTAAATTTTTAAAAACCCATTTTTTTAATTAAAAGGCCTTATAATTGCCTAACAAATACAGATGATGGAAATAGAGCAAGATCAAGGCACTCTTTTTCTGTTTTTAAAGGAAAAGACTGTCTACTGAGAGCATTCAGTCTTTCTGTTTTTTCTGGTCACTTCTTGACTTCTGTAACCCAACAAAGAGTCAGATATAGCTAACATTACCTTGTTTCTTGAAATTTAGACTTATTTTCTTGCAAGCTTTATTGACTTGTACTATATTATGTATTTTCCAAGTATACTGAGAATATTCTTAGACCTAAAGCCAGCCTATTGGTTATCCATTTGGTATCTCCAGCTATGCAGATCTCTCATATGTTTCTGCATGTTTTGAAATCACCTGGGTATCCTCAAGCTCTCTCCCTGCCTCCATGAGGAGCAAGGGCCAGATAAACTAATTTATGTCAAGATAAGATGAAGTTCCTAATACTTAAGGATGTGCTTCTGAGACTGTAGCTTGTGCTGATATGTAATGGATATGGGAAAACATATTCCCGAACTATCATTCTGGCTCAAAGATTTTGAAGTATAGTATGTTTATAATAAAACACAGGCCTCTATATTATAAAGTGCAAAATACATATGGGTTTTTTAAGGAAAGCACGAAACATTAAAGAAATTCTTACCAAGCCCCTGGCTGCTTCAGGCTATGCTCACAAGCCATTCAAGGCTATATATATGCATTCATTCAACAACAAATAGTTATTGGGCACCTGCTATGTCCTGAGGAACTTTTCTAAGTGCTGGAAACACAGCAAAGAGCAAAACAGACAAAATCCATTTTTTTCTCATGGGGCTCACTTACTAGTGTGAGGGACAGACAGACAAACAAATAACTAAATAAAATGTATATATGTCATATGGTGATGGAAGCCATGGAAAAAATAAAGCAGGGAAGAAGAACAGGAAATGGGTGTGGCAGCCAAGGATGTTGGAAGGGAGTTGCAATTTTCATTAGATTAGTAAGGAGAAGACTCACTGAGAGCATGGCATTTGAGCAAGAATCTGAGGGAGGAAAGAAAGGGCACCATGCAAAAGTTAGGGGTAAGAGAATTCTAGAAAGAAAGAAAAGCAAGTGCAAAGGTCCTGAGATATTTGCATTTGTGACACATTTCAGGAAGATGAAAGAAGCCAGTGTGACCAAAGCAAAGTGAGTTTTAGAAAGACTAGAGGGAAGGAGGAAGGCAGGAATGTTGAGAGGCAGGGTAAAGAGTGGAACGGATGTTGTAGCGTTTTGTAAGCACTTTGGATCTTAGTCTGAATGAGATGAGAAGTCATTAGAGGATTTTGAGTAGAGGAATAACTTGATCTGATTTACTTTTTAAAAGGATCACTCTGTCCACTGTACTAAGAACAGACAGCAGAGGGGACACTATTACACAGTAAGCCAGGACAGGGATGATGATGGCTTGGACTGCACCAGTAGCTGTGGACGTGATGAGAAGTGGTCCGATTATGGATATACTACACCTGCATTTCTTTGAGTCTAAGACATCATTGATCGAAAGATGCGCCATTATCTAATGTGTCACTAAGAAAGAAAAAAAAGCTGCCATTGAAACTAAGAAACCATGACACAATGCTTTCCGATCACTTAGGGTTTTACTTCATGGTTCTTAAAATATCTATTTTATATTTAGACATATTTTATCATATATTGCTCTTGTGCATACAAATAAAGGAAAATAAAGCTGAAATCAATTGATAAATAAAACCAAAATGCAACTTTTTCTCAAACTTCAACTCTTTTTAAATCATTTTTACTCAGTTCGTTTCTGCACATCCTCAGGAGCCCTAGTAATACAGCATTTTAAAAAGAACCCATGAAAGAAATAAAATTCATTGGTACTTGGCCCTTTTTTAGAACAGTTTTATTGAGGTATAATTGGCATACCATAAATTGCACATTTAAAGTGTACAGTTCGATAAGTTTTTACATAGGCATATACCTGTGCGACCATTGCCATGATCAAGACTATAAACATATTCATCATCCCTAATGTTTCTTGTGCCCTTGTAACTCTTCCCTCCTACCCGCTCCTGCCCCTGGCCCCTGGCAACCACTGTCCCTGTAGATTAGATTGAGCTTTCTGGATTTTTATACAAATGAAATTATAAAATATGTACTTCTCCTGTCTAGCTTCTTTCATTCAGCATCATTATTTTGAGATTCATTAATAGTGCAGCATATATCAATAGCTCATTTTATTTTATTGCTGAATAGCAATTTCATGGTATGGACATGCCATAGTTAGTTTATCCATTC